AAAGAGGTTTATGGCGGTGAACTTGTTCAAACAATTACCCGGACCCAAAAAGATCTTCGTTAGTCTTCTGATAAGGTCAGATTTTTAGAAGGTTCACTTGCCCCTCTGCAATCTTCTTATGATGCTGCTTTGGCCGAGAAAGAAAAGCTTAAAAACGTGATTGACCAATGAGAGAGAGATTATGAGATTCTTGAGGACAAGACTGCCATTGAAGTGAGTTGGGCTATTCTAAATACACGCCATGATACCCTTGTGGAGGCTAGCCAAGAGGGTTTTAACTTGGATACTGAGTTAGCCAAGATAAAAGAGACCATTGAAAAAACTCAGCAAGGCCAAGATTTTCCTTCTCTCATGGCTGATACTCTCGAGCATGTTGAAGATGATATAGCTACGGTGAATGCCCCAGCTTCTTCGAGTCAATTCGAACCTTTTGCTGCTAATGATACCGCTTTAGATTCTTCTTCTGCCCCTTAGTGAAAGTTTAAGAAGTGTTACTCCTTTTTTTCTTTTCTTGGTGGTTTTAACCCCTGGTCCCATTTTGGGGGTTTAATTTTTGGAAATGACAAGTTCCCAAACCTTTTCGGGGTATTTTGTAAAAATGACAATCAGTTTATGACTAAGTTCATACTTAGTCTAAACTTAATATTATGAAATTTTTTGTTTAACTTAATTGTCTTGAGCTTATGTTTTGCTCTCTTTTGCCTTTATACTCAAGGTATTGTTGGTTAATTCGTAGGTTTTTGTCTTATCCTTGTTAATTTTCATGGATATCTGAATCAAACATGAATTTATAAAACAGGGCCCTTTTATTTTTGACACTTAATGAAGAAGACGTCTCAACTTCATAACGGTGTAAATATACGAAAAAAGAAATAGGAACACACATGTTTTTTGAAATAACTTTGATAAAGTTTTCATCTGAACTTTATCAAGTTTAAGTAACATCTTACATGTATTTAAATATCTTCTATAACTTTTTCGTAACTGTTTTCTTAACAATAGATTTGCAAAAAAGGAAATAAAATCCAAGAGTTTTTTTAAACCCATGGCTAAACATTGCCTTTAACCTAGACACCATAAGATCTTGAAATCTATATGAAGGTTTTTTGACTGGCTTGTGTTATTGGCTCGTGACTTTGCTCTGAACTTGATACATTTGATGAGTAGACTTTGGGCTTGACTTGAATTTAACTTGAATGTAGTCTTCTTTGCCTTCTTTATACATATATCATATGTATATTATGTAGTCCCCCAAGTATTTGAGCTTTGAAGTATGAAATCTCGAGCACTTGATTATTCTTTCCATGCGGTCCTTTTCTTGAAAAGGAAAAACATATGGGACTCCGGGGTATGATTTTAGATGAAGACTGCTTAACCCGTGTAAATTTCCATAAGAATAGTTGTAACCCTAGATCGAGAATTTTATTTCTTCCACGTGTCTTGCAGGTCGTAATTCATCATTTAGTGCGGGCTAGATTTTTGCCTATCATCTAAAATCGTTAGTAAATTTTTAACAATTCAACAATAAAAGTTTAAAATGAGGGTACCTGCCCGTGAGTATTTTCTTTCCTTAGAAAAAGTATCTCTTCAGATGAACAACATTCTAATGTGAAGGTAGAATCTTGCCAACCATTGTTTCCAGTTTGTATGCTCCTTTTCCTGCGATACCGCGAATTTTATAAGGCCCTTCCCAAGTTGGGCTTAACTTTCATGCATTAATTGTGCTCGTTGATTGGAAAAATTTCTTGAGTACAAAGTCCCTAATCTTGAAGTATCTGAGACGAGCTTTCCTGTTATAGTATCATTCCATAACTTGTTTTTGTGCTGCCATCCTTATTAATGCAGCTTCCCTCCTCTCTTCAAGTAAATCCAGGTTTATTCGCATTTCTTCTTCATTTGACTCCTCAGTTGCTTGTGTATATCTCATGCTTGGCTCCCCTATCTCGACTGGGATTAAGGCTTCAGCTCCGTATACAAGTGAGACTGGTGTTTCCCCCGTACTTGTTTTTGCAGTTGTGCGACAAGCCCACAAGACTCCGGTAACACCTCTGGCCAATTGACTTTAGATTCCTCCAACCTTTTCTTTAAATTGTTGATAATGACTTTATTCGTTGATTCAGCTTGTCCATTACCCACCGGATGATAAGGCGTTGAAGTAATCCTCTTAATTTGCCAACTCTAAAAAAATTCTGTGATTTGCGTGCCTATAAATTGTGGACCGTTATCACATACGATTTCTTTTGGTACACCAAATAGGCATATGATGTTTCGCCAAATGAAATCTCTGACCTCTTTTTCTCGTACCTATTTAAAAGCACCTGCTTCTACCCACTTAGTAAAATAATCAGTGGGTACTAGTAAAAAATTTACTTTGCCTTTGGCTTGTGGTAGAGGATCTACGATATCCATCCCCCACTTTATAAAAAGTCACGGTGCAGTGACCGGATGCAATAATTCAGCAGGTCTATGCATGTTGTTATCGTATCTTTGGCACTTGTCACATTTAGCAACAAAATTTTCCGCGTTTTCTTCCATTTTGGGCCAATAATAACCGGCTCTAATCATGGTTTTTACTAAGGATCTTCCTCCCGCGTGATTTCCACAATGTCTCTCGTGTATTTCTCTCATCACATATTCTGTTTGAGAAGGTCCGAGGAATCTAGCTAGGGGACCACCAAACATTTTGCGATAAAGATTACCTTGCTTTAAACAGTACCGAGCAGCTTTTTTGCGGAGTGCTTGAGCCCTTTTTTTATCTCCATGTACAATTCCATACTGCAAAAAAGTGGCAATCTCGTTCCTCCAATCCCAAGTTAAATTATTGAAATTTACCTCATTTTTGTCTTGATCAAGTACTGAATGAAATAAATGAATTATAGAAGCATTTTCATCATTCGTCACTTCTGCCATAGAAGCAAGATTAGCTAGGGCGTCTGCCTAGATATTTTCTTCTCTTGGTATCTGCACGACTTGCCAGGTTTGGAATTGCCTAACCAGATCACGTGCCTTTTCCAGGTATTGCTGCATTCTTGCTTCTCTGGCTGTATAAGTCCCCAGCATTTGGTTAACAATGAGCTGTGAATCGCTTTTGATTACGACCTATTCTATGCCAAGCTTGCGTGCCAGTTCTAAATCTGCAATCACAACTTCATACTCTACCTCATTGTTAGTAATAGGGTGGCATTTTATGACTTGTCAGATGGTTTCTCCCGTAGGTGGTACCAAGACAATTCCTAGACCTGCCCCTTTCACATTCGATGAACCATCAGTAAATAAAGTCCAAGTCCCTTGATAAGACTCATTGAATACATGTAGCTCCTTTTCTGCTTCTAGTTGTATCCCTTGGCTAAAATCCACCACAAAATCTGCTAATACTTGTGACTTTATTGCAGTTCTAGGTTGATACGTAATGTCATATTCACTCAGCTCTATGGCCCACTTGCCTAACCTACCTGATAACTCGTGTTTATGTAATATATTACGTAGGGGATAAACAGTTAATGCAGAGATGGGATGACATTAAAAATAAGGTCTTAACTTCCTAGATTCCATGATTAATGCAAGTGCAAGTTTTTCAAGATGAGGAAAACGAGTCTCAGCATCTAATAATGACTTGCTAACATAATAAATTGGAGACTGTTTACCTTGGTCTTCACGAACTAAAACAACACTGACTGCTACTTCTAAAACAGCAAGGTAGATGAGTAGTTTCTCCCCATCTTTTAGTTTCACAAGCAACAATGGATTAGACAAGTATACTTTCAAAATTTTAAGCGCTTGTTGACATTTCTCAGACCATTCGAACTGATCCTGCTTGTTTAGATATAAAAAGAACCTAAAGCATTTTTATGATGATTTGGAAATAAATCTTCCCAAGGCTGCTATTCTTCCCATCAGTCTCTGTACCTCTTTTTTACTTGTAAGTGTATCAGGAATTTCCTCAATAGCTTTAATCTGCACGAGATTTACTTTAATGCCACAGTTAGAAATAAGAAATCCCAAAAACTTACCTGACGAAACGCCAAATGCACATTTCTCGGGGTTTAGCTTCATGTTAAATTTACGGAGAATCTGAAATGTATCAGACAAGTGTTGAATATGATCCCCTACTTGTTGTGACTTGACCAGCGTATCATCTATATAGACTTCCATGGTTTTCCCTAAATGTTCTTGAAACATTTTGGTCACCAACCTTTGATATGTGGCTTCAACGTTTTTGAGACCATTACTTTGTAACAGTAAGTCCCCATGTCTGTTATAAATGAAGTTTTTTCCTCATATATGAGATCCATTTTGATTTGGTTATACCCTGAATATGCATCTAAAAAACTTAACAATTCATGCCCTGCAGTAGCATCGATTAGTTGATCTATATGTGGTAATGGAAAAGAATCTTTATGACAAGCTTTGTTTAGGTCAGTATAATCTACACAAACTCGCCACTTACCATTCTTTTTAGGTACTACTACAGTATTAGCTAACCAATTTGGATATTTTACCTCGTGGATAGACCCAATTTTTAAAAGTTTTTGTACCCCATCTTGAATAACCTGATTTTTGAAAGATCCTTGCTTTCTTTTCTTTTGTTTGACATGTGGATATGATGGATCTTCATTTAACTTATGAGTTATTACTTCCAGAGGTTTTACTATCATATCAGAATGAGACCAAGCAAAACAATCCACGTTAGTTTTCAAAAATACAGTCAACTTACCTTTCATTTCGTGGCTTAGGTTGACCCCAATGTAGACTTTCCTTTCAGGCCAAGGTGCGAATAGTTCTACAGCTTCCAATTCTTCAATCGTCATTTTGATGTTTTCATTTTCCTATGGTTCTTGGATGGAAGAGGGCCTCGAGTCTACATCTGTTCGCTCGTGTTTAGTTGAGGTTTTGGTGCAACATCCTCAACTGGATTCTATAATTGCTATTTTTTCTTTTTTTGGGCTTGAATCTATTACGGAGTTGATGCTCCTAGACGTTTATTGATCACCACAGATTTGTCATATTCCCCATTGTGAAGGGAATTTAATAACTTGATGCAGGGTAGATGGCACAGCATCCATTTTGTGAATCCATAGTCTACCGAGAATCATATTGTAAGCCATGTCCATCTCTACCACCTGAAATTTCGTGTCTTTGACAACTCCCTCTGCGAATGTGGTGAGTATTATCTCCCCTTTTGTTACGACGCTCGAGTTATCAAAACCAGATAAAGTATGTGCCTTGGGTATCAGCTTATCTTCAGTTTGCATTTCATTTATCACTCTTAGCAAAATGATGTTCACGAAGCTACCTGGATCAATCAAAACTCGTTTCACATTAGTGTCATGTACAAGTAAAGATATTACCAGTGCATCATTGTGTGGGATTAATACGCCATCTGAATCTGCATCATCAAATGTAATACTTTCTTCTTCCAAAACATGTCGAACTCGCTTCTCGTGTGTGACTGTAATTTTTGAAACTTTCTTGGCTGTCGTATATATCACGCCATTAATTTCTTTTCCTCCGCTTATAACATTAACAGTCCTTTTTGGTGAAGGAGGTTTAGGGGGCTCCTGTCTATTTTTCATATACGCTTGCTTACCTTTTTCACTATACAATTCAGTTAGATATCCTTGCTTTAACAAATGGTTAACTTTACCTTGAAGCAGTCTACAATCCGCCGTTTTGTGACCATGATCATTATGAAACTCGCACCAAAAATCAGGATTTCGCCTGTGCGAGTTTGATCACATTTTCTTTGGCCATCGTACCTTATCTCCCATGCTTCTTAATACTGCTACTAACTCTTATGTACTAACATTGAAATTGTACCCACCAAACTTCGCCTTCGAGCCTCTATCATCATCTCGCGTCTCTTGTGCGTTTCGCTATTTTCCAAACCTTGATGATGAGCCTGATTCTCTATCTCTCGATCTATGATCGTACCTTGAGTTATCCTGCATTGAATGCGAGTCTCTTCCTGCTGGTCCCATGTAGGGCTCGTACCTGTTTTTACCAGACCTTTTTTCAGTTTCAGCACATCTTGAACTTACCCTCTCCTCTTTTTGAGACCGAGTGATGGTATCTTCTTCTATCCGCAGCTTTGTGATGTATCTGTTGTAAATATCATTCCAAGTTGTTGCTGGAAATTCACGTAGACTTTCCTTGAGTCTTCTCGTGGCTTCCGAGCTTTTCTCATTTAGATTGCTGGCAAATACCATAGCCGCCCAGTTATCAGGTACGTGTGGCAACATCATCCTTTTACGCTGGAATCTGTCTACGAACTCTCTAAGTAACACCATCTCCTTGCTTTATTTTGAAAATAACTTCCATTCTTTTTTCGACTTTTTGAGCTTCCGAGTGTGTTTTGATAAACGAATCTGCAAGCTCAGCAAAAGAATTTATAAAACTTTCGGGAAAAAGAGAATACCATGTTAATGCTCCCTTAATGAGTGTTTCTCTGAATTTTTTGACCAATACTGATTCAATTTCTTGTTTGGTCAAGTCGTTGCCCTTTACACCGGTTGTGAATTCAGTTACGTGGTCTCATGGATCAGTTGTTCCATCGTATTTTGGAATATCGGGCATATTAAATTTCTTCGGAATTGGTAGAGGAGCAGCACTTGGCTTCCACGGTTGTTGTGAATATTTGTCCAAATCTATTCCCTTGATCACAGGTGGTACACCAGGTATTTGCTCTATGTGGTCGCTTTGCTCCTTGAGCTGTTTCTCCAAAGTTAATACTAAATTTTGTAAATCAGAATTAACTGTGTTACTTGATTCTCCATCAGGAGACTCGCTGGGAGTTCCACCATTGCCTAAATTAACGAGTCTAGAACGAGGGTTTTCCAGTGTGTTGTTATTTGGAGTTGGAGTTGGCGGCACAACCAGCAACTGGCTGATAAAAGCATGGAGAGCGTTGTTGACCTGTTGAGCAATTAATTTTTGAGAGCTTCATTGATAGCTTGTTCGTTTGCAACTGTCATTTTCATTCGATTCAAATCTATCTGGAGTCCCTTCCCGTAATTATCGCTGAGAATGTTGTGGTACTGTGTTGGTTATTGTCGTTGACATTCGACATGATTGTTTTTGATAAAAGAATCGATTTGGAATGTAGACGATTATCAGATTCCCGGTAACAGAACCAATTTGTTTAACAAAAAATTAGAATTTCAGTCAAAGCTTATTTTTAGAAGAACTCGGCTTACTGATAATCAAGTAGAAAAAGTAATAATTGGTATAAATAATAACTGAATAGAAAGCAAAGTAAATCAGTATATTCCAATAGTATCTCGTGTCCTTACAAATGTTCATTCCTCATCTTTTATAGTTATTTCTAAGTAATACGTTTTTCTCCTTTCATAATGGTGTCATTATGGACAATTAATGACATTTAATGTAACATTATAATTGGTAATCGTAACTGATTCAATACAGATTCTATAATATTTTCCGTAATTAATGCCTATTAATTACCAATAATACGTATCTATACCCCTTTTGCTATTTAGGTTCATTCTTCCGATGCCTCTTTAGAATATCAAGAGGTTTGAGCACCTATCCCTTCTGGCTTTCGTGGATCTTTGCCCGTGCCTGCTAAAGCTCGTGTCTCTTCAACTATTCTTTGCCAACTGTTATTCTTTTACCAGTCCACATGTCATGACATATCATCACATAATTAATTCGATACATTAACTTGATTTTTCCCAATACAATAATTTGTGTCATTTCCTTCCAATTGCATTCAGAATTGGATTACATTGACAGTAAATGGCCTTGAATTCATCAGAATATCCCCTCTCATTTGTTTGTTGTTCCTTTATTTGGAAAGGCAACACATACAACAGATAAATGGCAAGATCTTACCTCAATCAGTTTCATTGAGCAACTGCTCCCAAAACAATAATGGATTCTTTTTAGTTCTCAACTACTCTGTACCGCACTTGCTGAAGGCTGGGATACAGTTCATCTGAGGCAGACCATTCTGAGAATCCTAGATTCTTTAATTTCAAAACTTTAAGGTTAGGAAACTCCCCATCCTTAACGTCCCATCGTCTCCCTTTGAAGGCATTTTCTTCTAATTTCAGAACTTCAGTGTTGGACAATTTGCTAATGGCCGAGTCAAATACTCCAATACCACTATAATACTCAAAAGAAATAATCCTTTTTTTATAATCTTACTTGACTATAATATGGCTCAGACTCTATTTTTCTCACAGATATTTTTCTTTCATTCATTATTTATGATGATCACTCTTATTTTTTATGGTGGGAATGAACGAAATGGTGCTCTATTTATAATGGAGCATTACTTGGTCTCCAAGCTCAATTTTAAAGCAAATGTGAAACGCTAAAAAATCCTCCATCACAGCCAAGTTCTTTTTGGCTAATAGGCTCAAGCCTATTCTCTTTACGTGCCTCTATCAAATGGGATGGACCCTATATAATTTAGTATAGTTTCTTTTTCTTACCGTTATATTCAAACATGGTAACCGTTGCAAATAGTGGAGAATTAACTACTAAAAATTTGCCTTTGAGGAGAAGAGTTTGTAGGAAAAAAATAGATAATATTGACCAAGAAAAAGAAGAAAACAAGAATAACTTATCGAAAAATACTGTGTCGTGGCAAAGCACTATTTTGAAAGCGATTTCAGTAAAAATCGTTAAGCCCGGGCTCCCTAAAGTTCTAATGTTCCTCCAAGAACGTGCACTTTTCCTAGAAATCGGTTGAAGAATAAGAGAAGATGAAGGTGTTTTCCTTTTGTAGGAAAAGTTGCAAAGTTACAGATGTAGAAATTAGTTTGTAGCTATTATTGATGAAGAGAAGCGAGGTTTTGATCATTCTCACATAGAAAAGAGAAGAGACAAGAAATAATCGAAGAAAGAAGAAAGAAATTCTCAGACAAACACTTAGCTTTTTTGGACTTCTTTATGTTAAAGACCTTAAGGTGTTTTGTATTGTTTTGTCTCAACCTTACACGTGGAAAGATCATGAAGGCTCACAATCCCTCTTTCTCAGCCGCGTGATTTATATCACAACATCTATACATAAGGAAGCTTCTAAGAAGCTAAGTTCACGTGCTTCTCACGTGAGCACACATGGAAAAGAATATTTTCACTTTTTCTGTTACACTGTAGACAATAGGAGTAGTACAAGTGTATAGGAGTATTCTTCATTTGTTATTTACAATAGGATAATTCTGTATATATAGACATGTACATTATCAATACAAAGCAGAGAAAATTTCCTCAATTTGTTCTTCCTTTTCTATCACGGTATCAGAGCAGCAGTAGCTCGATCCACCATTTTCTCTCAAAATTTAGTATTACGCCAAGACAGGGACAAAAACTCCTTCTATTCCCGTTGGCTCTGGTTCCACCAGTCAAATAATCTCACAGGATGTTAATCATCCATACTTTCTTCATTCCTTTGATGCTCCTGGTATGAGCTTTGTTACCATACATTTTGATGGTAGAAGCTTTTTAGGATGGAGGAGATCAATCCTTATAGCTCTTTCAACCAAGAATAAGATAGGCTTTATACATGGTCTATGTGATGAAACAAATCCTAATGCCAAAGATGCCCTTGTGCTTGTAGGGTTGCTTCTGAATTGATATTTTGGCTGCGTTCCCAGTGACACTTTCTTTTATCCCTGTAACACTCATATGGTACCTTTAACTACCCCGACTCCTATTTGAATATATTTCGAGTATTATAATGACATTACTGCGAGGCTGAATTCTCCATGTTGGTCATATTAGCTATAGAATTACTACGGTTATCCGAGTAGTAGATAACATCAAACAAACTATAACGGATTTAATGAGCCATTCTTAGTTTCACAGTCTGAATTTATTCATACTTGCACACTCAATGGAGCAGATGCAACTTCATGGTCACTTCTTGGCTATTGAACTCTTTGTCCAAGGAGGTAGGTGACAGTGTCATCTATTCAAAATCTGCAAAGGACTCGTGGAATAGTCTTGAACACAGGTTTGTACAGTGTAATGGAGCCAAGTTGTACCAACTGCAAAAGGAAATATCAACATTAGTTCAAGAAAATAACAGTATTGCTGGTTACTTTACCACTCTTAAGAAATTATGGGTGAGCTTGACTCACTCAACTCTCACCTATTCTGTTATTGTGACTGTGTTTGTGATGGAAAAAGAAAAGTTATAAAGTTCCTAGAAGACCAAAGAATCATTTAGTTTCTAATGGCACTAAATCTATGCAAGATGAGAATCAAAGGAAAATCTATGCAAGACCACAGTTCAATGCTGATGCTTCCTCCTTCATGGTAGGAGTTCAAGGAAAAGCACCACAGAGATACAACAATCAGGGACAACAAAAAGGATGGACTAACTCACAAATGGTCAATAACACATAGCAGAAACCTAAGGGAAGAACAACAAAATTCAATCCCAATGTGAGCTTTACACACTGCATGAGGACTGGAATGTCCAGTGCAAACTGTTACAGGTTAAATGGTTTCCTTGATGATTTTTAATTCACGAGATCAACATAGATCAAGGCTAATGATATAGTTGAAGGACAAGAAAATGATAATGTGAGCACTCAAAGCCATGAGTGAACTGCTCAAACTCAGTTTTTCAGCAAAGAACATGTGTCTGAACTGATGAACCTAATTAAGCAAGCACAACTTGGAAGTATAGCATCATAAGGAACTGCCATCAAGGCAAATGATGTAGCTGGTACTATACTTAAATATTTTGGAACTTGTTTGGCTGCATTCAACACCAAAACCTGGATCATTTATTCGGGGGATTCTTAGCATATTTGTTTTGATTCAAGTTGTTTCTTAACTTTAGTTCCACTTCCTGTTCCTATACATATTAGCCTACCTAATTCTTTTCAATCATATGTCACACACATAGATAGTGTTCCAATTCAATCTGATATGATTCTTGAAAATGTCCTTTATGTTCCTTCTTTCAAATATAACTTACTCTCAGTTCATAAGTTGTGTGTCCAATTTCATTGGTCACTCAATCTAACTTCTACTGGATGTATCATGCAGGTCCCTTTAATGAGAAGGGGACATACTTTTGGTGAATTAAAAGGAGGATTGTATCTGTTGGAGCCTAGTACACCTAGGATAGATTCTAAATCTAATTTCAATACTAAAGTATTTTCAATTCCACAAGGAAGTCATTCCATTCTAGTTCCTAGTAACCTTTCTTGTTCTGTTTCTAGTTCTAGTATTGAAATTTCTAATGTACTCCAATGACATGCTAGATTGGGGCATTTACCATTTTCAGTAATGAAAAATCTACACTTCAATCAATTTCCTTCTAATTTCAATTATGTGTGTGATATTTGTCCAAAAGCTAAACAAACTAGACTACCTTTTCCTTTGAGTCAAATCAGAACTCATGAAATTTTTGATCTTATTTATATTGATGCTTGGAGACCATTCAGAAGTGCACTTACAATGGATATAAATATTTTTTAACCGCGGTTGATGATTTTAGCAGAGGCACTTGAACTTTTCTTTTAAGTTCCAAAATAAATGTTTTTACAGTACTACAATCTTTCTTACTTATGGTGGAGAGACAATTTACAAGGAAAGTTAAGAGAATCAGATCTGATAATACTGTGGTACTAGGAAAGGGGTCTTTCCAGTCTGATTTTCTCTAGTCCCAAGGTATTTTACATGAGACTGCATGTGTAGAAACTCCCCAGTAAAATAGGATAGTTGAAAGAAAACATAGGCACCTTTTGGAGGTGGAAAGAGAATTGTATTTTGCAGTCACAAGTTCTTATCCAATACTGGGAGAGTGTGTTTTGACTGCTACCTATCTAATTAATAGGTTTTCTTCCAGAGTTCTAAAGGGAAAACACCTTATGAGATTCTCTTTAAGAAAAGTCCACAGTATGATCTACTCATGTCATTTGGATGTCTATGCTATACTTCTAATCTAGCACACAATAGGAGCAAATTTGATCCCAGGCCAAAAGCTTGTATTTTCTTAGGATCTACACAACATAAAAAATGATACAAATTGCTGGAATTACATTCTAAAAAGGTTTTTATTTTAAGAGATGCCAAGTTCCATGAAGCACACTTTCCTTTTGCTTCCACTCCTCCACCTTCAACCTCACCTTTCTTTCCTCACTCATCTTTACTCTCGGATTTCCCAACTCAACCACCCTCATCACTCACCCTCACCTCTCACTCCTTATCCAAATACTATTGAGAATAACATATCTATTTCTCCTCATAGTCCTAGAACTCCTATGTCTCTTCCCATGCTCTCACTTTCCCCTGCTCCTGCTTCATCTCCTACTGTTCTCTCTAGTCCACAACCTACAATCCTAATATGCCCACCTCTTCTCAGAAAATCTGAGATGATTTCTCAAAAACCTACCTACCTCAATGACTATGTTTGTAACAACATTGTTTTCTCTGATCTGACCTCCTCATGTTTCCACCTATTTCTCAGCCTAAAATGTTTTCTTTTGGAGCTCTTTCTCCTGACAATCAGGTTATTTTCAAGTCTATCTCCACAGTTTTTTATCTTACCAGTTATACACATGCTTCTCAAGATTTTGGATGGAGAAAAGTTATGGAGACTGAAATTCAAGCTCTCCAGCTCAATCACACTTGGGATGTAGTTCCTTTACACCCAGGCAAGAAGGCCTTATCTTGTAAATGGGCTTACAAGGTCAAACACAAGTCAGATGGGTCAATTAAAAGGTTGAAGGCCAGATTGGTTGTAAGAGGGGACATCAAAGGGAAGACATTGACTATTCTGAGACCTTTAGTCCAGTGGTCAAGATGACCATTATCAGATGTTTATTGACTGTTGCAGTTAAGAAAGGATGGGAGGTTTCACAACTAGATATTACCAATGCATTTCTGCATTGAGATATACAAGATGAGGTGCATATGAAATTTCAACCTGGTCTCACTCCCTCTCATCTTGATCAGGTGTGCCTATTGAAGAAATCACTCTATGGCCTAAAACAGGCCTCAAGACAATGGTATGCTCGACTAGCAGGTGCCCTAAGTTACAAAGGCTATTCTAGTTCTTTGAATGACTATTCATTGTTCTACAAATACACAAACAAGCAGGTATCCATCATAACAGTGTATGTTGACGACATTCTAATCACATGCAATGATGTCATAGAAATACAACATATCATTCAATTTCTGGATTTTGAGTTTAAATTCAAAAACTTAGGAAACATTCACTATTTCTTAGGCATGGAAATACTCAGAGAACCACAAGGGTACATAGTCAGTCAACGTAAATTTACCTTGAAACTATTGAGTGAATTTGATTGTGCAGACCCTGATGTCACATCTCCTCTTGACCCATACTCCAAATTGCAGGCTTAATTAGAACCACTCATGGCACATCCCACTCTCTATCAACAATTGGTGGGTAAACTTAATTACCTCACCAATACCAGGCTAGATATTTGCTTTGCCGTCCTTTGCCTTAAGTCAATTTATGCAAAGGCCCTCTCTTTCACACTTCTCTACAGGCCTCAGGGTACTCCGGTATCTCCGCTCAGATCCAGGCCAAGGCATCCTTCTTTCCCCTGTTCCCTCTTTAGATTTAGTCGCCTTTTGTGATGCTGACTGTGCTGCTTGTAAAAACTCTCGTTGATCCGTCAGTGGCTTTTTTATTACACTTGGTGGTGCTGCCATCTCATTGAAATCAAAGAAGCAGCTCTCCGTCTCTTTGTCATCCGCTGAATCTGAGTATCGATCCATAAGACGGGTGACTGCTAAAATCACATGGCTTGTTCGACTCCTAGCTGATTTATCTACTCCTCCAACTTTGCTTGTTCCTTACCACTCTGACAGCCAGGCGACAATTCATATTTCCCGCAATCTAATCTTCCATGAATGAACTAAATATGTAGAGCTGAATTGCCATTTTGTTCGACAAGAATTTCTCGCTGGCTTGATCTCACAGTCGTTTGTCCCCTCAAAATCCCAAATCGTTGATCTATTTATCAAACCCTTGTCTGGGGTTTCTCACACTAACATCATGAGTAAGCTGGGGGTTTTATATCTCCCCTTCATCTTGAAGGGGTGATGATGAAGAGAAGCGGGATTTTGATCATTCTCACATAGAAAAGAGAAGAGACGAGAAAGAATCGAAGAAAGAAGAAAGAAATTCTCAGACAAACACTTAGCTTTTTCGGACTTTTCTATGTTAAAGACCCTAAGTATTTTGTATTGTTTTGTATGAGCCTTACACGTGGAAAGATCATGGAGGCTCACAATCCCTCTTTCTCAGCCATCTGATTTATATCACAACACCTTATATCACAACACCTGTACATAAGGAAGCTTCTAAGAAGCTAAGCTCACGTGCTTCTCATGACGTGAGCACACATGGGAAATAATATTTTCAGTTTTTCTGTTACACAATAGATAATAGGAATAGTACAAGTGTATAGAAATATTCTTTATTTGTTATTTAAAATAGGATAATTCTGTATATATAGACATGTACATTATCAATACAAAGCAGAGAAAATTTCCTCTTCCTTTTCTATCAGCTATAGAAATTAAAATGGACCTGTTACAAAAATTAAGCACGAATGTTACAAAAATTAAAGCATGGATGTTACAAAGAAATACAAAATTCAATCAGATATTATCATTTCGAAAAAGATTCTATTTACTTTAGTATCATTTGGTAAATTTAGGTCTGAGAGTACTAGGGGTATTAATGTTTTACTATTTTTTCCGAAATGATACTATTTACTTTGTATTATTCTCAAGTGTGTCGATAGCTTATCGTATACACATACATTGTTTTATAGAAAATTATTATTTACACACAAATGTAAGATTTTTTTTATTTGGCAAAGTGGTGTTGGATGATACTCCTCTGCCCTATAGGTAGTGGACAAGCACCCAAAGCCATCATTCCCTTCCTTTCATCTCTCGATTTATAGAGAATAAATTCACACTCTATGATTGGGAGAAAAGCCAATTGTAGCAGAATTGCAGTTTAAAAAGGTGAGAAGCTAAATATGAGGCACGAAACCCTCTAGTTGAAACTAATATTACACCAAACTTTTAATTTAGATTATAATCAAATAACTGCATATAAAGTGCAGTATTAATAAAGACAACATCAAATGAACCAAATAAAATCGAGAAAAAGCCAATGGAAAGAGAAAAGACCAGTGTTGCATTTCCTCTATACGTCTGAACACCTTCTGCCCAAGACTCATGGCTTGCACTGCCAGCAAATGAACTTGAATTTAGAATTCCCCATCTCCTCCTTTTGTTGTTCTTAATTGTGTAGGCAGCACGTGCAGCAGACAAGCGGCAAGATGTTACCTCTTTCAGCACGTACGACCAGTCTTTCCCTTCTTCTGTACCTTTTTTTCACAAAGCATCTGCCCAATCGATTGAATGAAAATAATACCATAAATGTTACTAATCTAGAAAAAAAAAGAAAATGATAGCAGCAAATGAACAATATTTCACAAACAAAAAAAGAAGAAGTGATCCTTACATCTATACATCTGAGCTTGAGGAGGTTGTCTGATAAGGAAAAATTTTCTATTAGCCAAATCTAATGGTAGGGATTAAACTCCTAAATAAAGCCAATTACAAGAAGGCCTTGCATACCTAATTGAACAACTTTTCTGATCAAGACTATTGACTAACACTTAGAAAAGATGACCTTGAATTCAGAATTCCCCATCTCCTTAATTTGTGTTCCCTTAATTTTGAGCCCAGCATTTACAACAGTCAACAGAGTAGCGACATGATCTTATGTCACCCAGTTGCATCGTACACTTGCTTACAAAACTATTAGGGATTTCCTCTAGCTTCCAACACCGTTGCACAAGTACTTTCTGTAGGTTGGGAAACGAGTCATCAGCGGTATTCCATTATGAGATTCCTAGATGTTGGGAAAAATAATACTCTCACCCAGGAATAAAATCCACGACAAATAATAATAATACAAGAGAGTAACAGTGACACCAACTCTTAATCGGGGTAAAATACAATACCCGAGCGGAGCAATATAACTATTATAATGGTACAACTTAGTAGTGTCAAGAGATTACTCCAACTTCGAAAGAAATAACACTTTTTATTTAAAATATCTCACTACAATATTACTCACACTCACTATTTATCTCACAGACTAAAATATGTGGATTACTCTCTCTAACTTCTATTGTTTCTCTCTTATTTTGGTGTGTTTGAAATGAAGAATGGATGCCTCTATTTATAGTAAGAGTTTCCATCCAACTACTACAAAGAAGAAGGATTTAGTCATATAATTTTTCAACAAAGTTAAGTACCTCCTATCCCATTTTTCTTCAACAAATTTGTCAATAAAGTTAGGCACCTCCTATCCCATTTTTCTTCTTTTCATTTTTTCTTCAAAATGAGACCCACAAATTTCTCCCTTAATTTTGATTTTTATTCTTCAGTCCAAGTCTTGTTCTCAATCTCTGAAAATCTTCAAACTTGAGAGGCTTTGTAAAAATGTCTGCAACTTGATCATGAGACTTCACATATTTGAGCTCGACTTCCTTCTTGGCAATGCACTCTCCGATAAAATGATACCTTGTATCTATATGCTTGCTTCGATCGTGATACACTGGATTCTTGGCAAGTGCCTGTGCAGATTTGTTATCAATACAAATCTCTGTAGCCTCAAATTGTGACAAATTGAGCTCCTTTAATAATCTTCTTAGCCAAATAGCATGACAGGTACACGATGTTGTTGATATATATTCTGCTTCACAAGTCGAGAGTGTAACTATGGATTGTTTCTTTGAACTCCAAGAAATAACAGAATCATCCAAGAAAAATACAAAACCAGTTGTACTTTTTCTATTATCAATATCTCCCACATAATCACTATCACAATATCTCACAAGGTTGAAATCATTAGAAGAAGAATAAAATAATCCAAAGTCGATTGTACCTTTTAGGTAACGAAGAATTTTTCTAGTGACCTTCAAGTAAGTGGAGGTAGGAGCTTCCATGAACCGGTTTACTACTCCAACTGCAAAGAGTATATTTGGCCTGGTACAAGTCAAGTACCTCAAACTTCCTACAAGACTTTTGAAAAATGTGGGATCCACTTTTTCGCCTTCATCAAACTTGGATAATTTTGTCCCACTTTCCATCGATGAGTTCACGGGGTTGCAATCGAGCATGTTGAACTTCTTCAATATCTCTTTTTTATAGCTTTCTTGAGAGATAAAAATTTCATCCTTCATCTGCTTCACTTTTAGGCCTAGGTAATATGACATGGGCCCTACGTCTGTCATCTCGAACTCACGAGTATATCTTTCTTGAAAGCTTCAAACAAACTTGGGTTATTACCCGTGAAAATAAGATCATCAACATAAAGACAAACAAGCGAGATATCTCCATTAGTATGAACTTTAAGATAAAGAGCATATTCATGGAGACAACGAGTAAACCATTCTTGAAAATACTTGTCGATGCAATTATTCCATGCCGCAGGGCTTGCTTTAATCCTTATAAAGCTTTCTTCAACCGCAACAATTTATCTTCATGGTTTTTGACCATGAAGCCCAATGGTTGTTCAACATAGACTTCTTCTTCAAGATAGCCATTCGAGAAAGCTGACTTGACATCTAGTTGATGAATCTTCCACTTCATTTGCGCCGCCAAAGAGATCAACAAACGAATAGTCTCCATGCGGGCAACAAGTGCATAGACTTCTTCATAGTCAATGCCTTGCCTTTGCTTGTAGCCTTTAACCACAAGTCGTGCCTTGTATTTCTTCAGATCTCCATCAGCATTCTTCTTTGTTTTGTATACCCATTTAACTCCAATTGCTCGATGACCCTGGGGAAGAGTTGTTAACTCCCAATTGTTGTTCTTCTCTATTGACTTGATCTCCTCCTCCATGGCATGTTTCCACTTTTTGTCTGAAACAAATTCATCAAAGTTCATTGGTTCATTGTCAACAAAGAGACAATATAAAAAATCAAAATTAGTAACTTCTTCTGTGTCGTCATAGAGCTCTTGAATGCTCCTTGTCCATTGCGGCTATTCATTTGAACTTTCTTGAGAAGAGGGAGATGCAACATTAGTTGGAGAAGGAGGTGGAGTTGTATCTTGCACAGGTTCCACGATTTTTGGTTCTTCTTCATCACCAAAGTATGGAAGAAAATCATATGAAGTTTCTTCCTGAGCTTCCCAGTTCCATACCAATTCTTCATCAAATTCAACATCACGACTTACCACCACTTTGCCGCTGTGTCACGACCCAAACTGAAGGGCCATGACTAGCACCCGACCACACTTGCCGAGCACCAACGNTGCTTGGGTTATATAGCTTGTATCCTTTTGAACTCGTATCATAGCCAACAAACACATGCTTGACACTTTGATCGTCAAGCTTTGCTCTCCCTTGTTATGGCACATGAGCATAGGCTATGCTCCCAAATATTCTCAAGTGCTTGATACCTGGCTTTCTTCCACTCCATGCTTCTTGAGGGGTTGATCTCTAACATTCCTTGTTAGAGACCTGTTGTTCAAATAAACTGCACAAGAAATACCTTCGGCCACAAAATTCCTTGGGCATACTTTTAGCTTTCAACATACATCTAGCTATATTAAGAATCGTTCGATTCTTTCTCTCTGCAACTCCATTTTGTTAAGGTGAATAAGGTACTGTTAGAGGGCGACAAATTCCATGAGACTGACAGAAGTCATTAAATTCTTTTGAAGTGAATTCGCCTCCTCTATCAGACCTTAAAGCTTTTATTTCATAGCCACTTTCTGTTTCCACAAGTACTTTGAAATTTTCAAAAGCAGCAAAAGCTTCAGATTTTTGGTTCAAGAAATAAACCCAAGTCATTCTACTAAAGTCATCAAAGAAAAGCAGAAAGTATTTTCTTTTACCAAAAGAAGGTGGATTGATTGGTCCACACACATCAATGTGGACAAGCTGGAGTGGCTTAGTTGATCTTGACATGGTCTCCTTTGGAAAACTTCTCCTTGCATGTTTCCTAAGAATACAAGCTTCACACAATTGATTTGGATGGTTGATTGATGGTATCCTATGTCCCATGTTCTTTTCTCCCATTAATTTGAGCGCTTCAAAATTCAAGTGCCCAAATTTCATATGCCAACACCATGATTCATCTTGCACATTAGCCTTCAAACACTTTGCATAAATTGTCT